TGTGGAAGGATTCGCCAAAATAGCTGCTCCACTTCATCGATTAACAGAAGAAAAATCAACATTCAATTAGACCCAAGAATGCGATTCCGCATTTAGAAAATTGAAAGGAGCATTATGTACGAGCCCAGTGTTGTCCTATCCTGATCACAAAGGCATGTTGATTTTGGACACAGATGCAAGTAATACCAGTGTTGGAGCTGTCCTTTCACAAATCCAAAACTCACAAGAACATGTCGTGGAGTACTACAGCAGAACATTATCAAAGCCGGAACGAAATTATTGTGTCACCAGAAGAGAGTTGCTTGCCATAGTAAAAGCAGTCGACCATTTTCATAAGTATCTCTACGGACGCAAGTTTCTAATTAGAACAGATCACGCAGCTCTAAAATGGCTTTTAGAAATGAAAACTCATGGATTGAGAAATTGCAGCAATACGATTTCCAAATTAAACATCGACCTGGAAACCTACATAAAAATGCTGACGCGCTGTCTAGACGGCCATGTAAAGAAGATTGCAAACATTGTCAAAGAATCGATATACATGAGAAAAACACTAGTCCAGCTGTAAGAAGAACGGGCCTGATCGTCGATGACAAATGGACTACCAAGCAAATGAGTGAAGATCAGGAGGCAGACCAGGACATCGGGCAAATTCTACATCTTAAAGAAAACGATGAATGTAGGCCAGAATGGAGGGAAGTGTCAAACAAGAGCTTGATTTACAAAGCGTTGTGAGCCCAATGGAACTCTCTGGCCGTAGAAAATGGTTTGCTCAAATGAGTTTGGGAAAGTGCCGATGGGAAATCCACTAAGAGCCAACTGGTTATCCCAAAAGACCGAGTGGAAGATGTATTAAAATAAATACACGACGGAACCTCAGGGGCACATTTCGGAGTTAACAAGACTTTGGACAAAATTCGGGAACGTTTTTACTGGGTTCACTACCATGAAGACGTTAAAAGCTGGTGCCGAAAATGCGACATCTGTGCTACCAGTAAAGGCCCTAAACTAAGATCTCGGGGGCCCATGAAACAGTACAACGTTGGTCTTCTATTTGAAAGAATAGCGATAGATGTAGCAGGACCGTTCCCAGAGTCAGAGCGTGGTAACAAATACATCTTAGTTATCATGGATTACTTCAGTAAATGGCCAGAAGTTTTTAGTCGTCATGGTGTGCCACTAGAGTTACATTCAGACCAGGGACGAAACTTCGAATCTGCCATCTTTAAGAAAATTTGTGAGATCATGGGAATCCGTAAGACCAGGACAACACCTTTACATCCACAGTCTGATGGCATGGTAGAACGATTTAATTAGACCATAGAGGAACACCTGACAAAAGTGGTCGCAAAGAACCAGCGTGATTGGGACAAACACTTGCCTCTGTTTTTAATGGCTTATAGAGCAGCTGTTCACGAGTCAACAGGTGAAAGTCCTGCCAGAATCGTCTTTGGAAGAGAACTCAGGTTACCTTGCGATTTGATGTTTGGGATACCTGAAGAAGAACGGAGAGAAATCCGAGATTATGCCGACGAAGTAAGGGCACGACTTCTGGGTATCCATGATTTTGCTCGGGAGCATATTCAACTAGCCAGTGACCGAATGAAGACCAGATACGACTTGAAGGCCAATTCGGTCGGATTTCAAGAAGGTGATTTAGTGTGGTTGTATAACCCAGTAAGGAAGAAAGGAGTATCACCGAAATTGTCTTCAGCATGGGAAGGACCCTATAGAGTAATCAAGAGGATCAATGATTTGGTTTATCGAGTCCAGCGCAACACCAGGAGTAAGATGAAAGTTGTACATCTGGACAGGTTGGCGAAATATCATGGGCGTGAAGTTGATCGGGACGATCAACCTTAAGAGGAGGGCAGTGTCACGATATCGTCCGCCAGGCTGTCAAGAATCGATGGTGGAAATACTAGAATCTAGCGAATTATTCTACTTTTATCTGGAAAATTAGATATCGTGTGTATTCTAGATTTTACAGGAAGAGACTTAAAGATATATAAGAAGGCCAGCATTGGTTTGTAAGTAAGTTTCAGTTCGACTGTGATACGATTTAAATAGTGATTGTAAAAAGTTTAATTGTTGAGTTTGTTAATAAAGTAATTAGTGTCAGAGTGTTTTGTTAAGTGGAATAAATTATTGCTGTGTTAATTGGACTTTGATTTTTGGAATAAACGAAACGAACAACGAACCCAAGATTTTTGTCAGCAGGCAACCCAAAGCCGCGACAGTATTTCAATGCCATCAGCTGTATTTGTATTGAAATAACATACTTGAATTGAGCTGCTCGGAGCTCAAAATTTTGATTTTTGAAATCTGTTCTATATTGAAACGGAATTGTTGTTTTATTATTAGAAAGAAGCATATTAGAAAAATCTATATTTGAATTATTTTCTTGTAATGCTTTGATTCCAATAATTCCATCAAAATATAGTAATGGAAATTGTACATAATCATTTTAATGTTGTTTTGAATATTATATTCTTGTAAAATTGGGACATTGATTTCTCCATGCGTTTTTCTTGTACCCAAGTAGTTAACTATTGTTTCTTGAATTAATTATATAATTTGAAAAATATTCTTCTGCGATTGACGGTCTTATTAAAGAGGCATGACTTCCTGTGTCAATTAATAATTTACACGGTGGATAGTCTATTTGAATAAACGGCAGTTGGTTGATTTGATAAGCATTTAAAGTTAATGCTGACTCATTGCATCCAAGGCTTGTAACTGAAAATTTTCGTCTTCAGTTTCGATTTGATTTTCTCCAAAATTTGTCTCTTCATATACTTCATAATAGTTTTGATTTTCGGAACATTCTTCAGTTTCGAAATATTCGTTAGGGTCAGGTAATTCGATTTCAAAGATATTATTAATTTCTTCGATTGTATATTTGGAAGGGTATTGATGTTGATTTTGTGCTCGTGGTTGCACTGAAACTCCGGACATAGGTGTCGGTTTCGAAAATTGTTGATTAGTGTTTTTTCGAAAGGCATTATTGTAATTTTTGCCAAAAGTTCCTGAACTAGTAGGAAATTTTGTTGGTACATAGTCCTTTTTAGGTGTTATATTAATAGGTTGGGATGGAAACTGTGGTACATAGGATGTTTTTTTGTGTATATTGAGGTTTTTGTTGAGTATAGGTTTGTTGTGAACGAAAATGCGCATTTTTATTTTTGAAATTTGAAAAATTTTGATTTTGATTAGTAGAATGATTAAGTCCTCTACTAATTTTCATGTGGTTTTCAGCTAGTTGATAATTTAACACAAATTTGTTAGCTGCATCCAACGTTTGTGGATTTTGAACCATTAAAATTGTTCTTAATTCGGTTGGCGAATTAGTGACTAGATTTTGAATAGCAATAATTTCGTTTTGTTCAATCAAGACATTTGCAACTACCGTTAAATTTTGATCGCACATGATTTTAGATGTAATTCTTTGAATTAAACCTTTTAGTTTATCCGAAAACTCAATAATTGTTTCTTTATTAGTTTTTGTGGTATACAATAGCTCTTGCATCAAATTCTGTCTATCATATTGATTGATCACCATATTTAATCCTCAACACTTCTCTTATATCGGTCCATGTTTGTAAATCAGGACGTGCCATAAGAAAATTTCCTGCGTCATTTATTAATTTTGATTTTATGGCGGTAACCACATACTCTTTTTGAGCATTTTCACCAGTATAGTAAGTTTGATAAAATTATTCATTGATGTTTCTTATGAAATATTCTAAATATTGGCTTTCGCCACTGAACGGTTTGATCAGTTGAACGATTGATTTTAAATTTTCACTCATTGTAACGGTTGGTCTTTGATTTTGGTTGTTACTTCTTGAATTAGAATTATAAAGATGAGTTAAATTGAACTGGGTTAAGAGATTCTCGATTTCTTCTTCAGAATCTGACATATATATTTTTTTGAATTGTTAAAAGAAATTATTTTGAAAATTTCAAAATTCAAAATTAAAAAGTTTTATTAAAATAAAATTATAATTAATTAAAATTATTTGTTTTTGTGGGTTTGTAAATTCTTTGTTATTCTTTATTTTTGATTTCAGTCTTTTCAGCAAAACTTTTTGGGATTGCAAAAGAACAAAAATCTGAATTTAAGTCTTCTCAGTAAATCAAAAATTAGAAATTACAAAAGATCGAAAATCCAAAAATCCTAACTATGGAACACCAATTACAAAATGTAAAAAGAGAAAGGATGTACTTACTAGGCAAGGCTAATAACAGTAGTCTTTCTTCACACGTTGTTTCTTGTTATTCCTTTTACTCAATTAACCAATTCGAAGTGGACAATATATTTAACGTGTAATAGCAGCACTGATAATCCAAATTTCACTTTCTCGAAGAATTCACTTTTTCGAAGTTCCTTCAGTCTTTTGAAATTTTCGCGACGGATTACGACTGTATCGACTTTCCCGAAACTTAAGCACTTTGAGCATCCGAACCACTGCGCCAATTATATTTTCGATTCAGAAACTTGTATTTTAAAAAACATTTATTTTATTGATTAAAATACAGAGGTGACAAAAGAAAATATGTGGATCAAATTACTACAGCAAAAACCTGAAAACAAATGAACTTTCCCTATGGGACTGCGCTGGCTTAAATAAGAATTTAATGCCGACATAGCAATTTGATGTTTACTTTACAACAATGTATTTAAAAAGTCATAGAGGAAAGGGGTAAGCACATTAAAAGTAGAAAATGCATATTTGATTATAAATCAGTGTGGCAATTGGTTAATATAACTTACATCCTGTCCACCCATTTTATATTTACTTCCGTATTTGCTATGTGTGCATTGACTTCTGGTTGAAAGATTGCATCATCTAATGAAGACATATCCTTGTTTGTACTATTGTTCTCTGAGTGCTCTGCATCTTTTTGTGCTTCATTCTCTCGGATGATTTTATTTGACCTTGAAGTTTTACTTTTTTCTGGTTCCGAGCAAGAATATAATCTGTACATATGCGTTGAATTAACTTCCCCGTTCTTGTGTAGGATAGGTATCCGTCCAAGTTTTCATAGAAGTTTTCTGAGTCATAGAAGAAAATCTTTTTATTCAATTTATCCAGCTCTGTCTGAATTGTTTCATTTTGTTCCAGTATGAATCTGTTTAATATGGGCATGTTTCGGATATATGGCGATGCTATAACTACTAAATTTGATTTTATTTTCTCTAAAGATCTAATCAACTGTGTACTTAGTTATTCAGTATTTTGATATTCTGTGAAGAGTATTACCCAGTCCTAGTCCTCTCGCGTTGCGTTATTGCTATACTTGTCTAATTCATCGACAATTTTCTCAAATGTTGCTATTCCCCCATTTTGAATATTCATGTTGAATTTATTGTTGTCTTCTTAAGGAGTTGCCAGTGGCGTAGCCAGTAGAGGGCAGGGGGGGGGGGCGACGGCCCCCCTCCGCCCCTGTATGTATGGCGCCCCTTCCGCTCTTAAAAAACAAAATTATGCTGTTTCTTATTTATTTTATCGAGCTCTTCACCTTTATTCTTTATCGTTAGTCGTCATTGTCCGATAGTTATTTATTTTCATTTCAGTTTCTGTTCTATTCTATTAGGTACATTATAATTTCTGAAAAACAAAATTGAAAAACAATTATTATGAATTTCAATTTATTTATTTCTTTATTAAACTAGGGGCTTCGGTGGGGCTGTCCTATCATCCGTCCGGATTAGTTCTAGTTTTCAAGGCGTCCGGAGACGTCCGGGAGGATTTTTTGAACTTATCCGTGTTTAACGGCATGTCCAAACATTATTTTTTTTAAGGCTTAATTTATGTTTTTTGGGCCTGGTACCCGGGATTTTCATCTGTAATATTTTCCCCCAATAAGCAAATATCACAAAAGCAAACAAACAATATAGAATTTCGCAAAATTATTCTCTTCATTTGTTACCCCCCCTCCCCCAAAAAAAAAAATTATATGCGCCACCTTATATGTTTGCCCCCTCCGCCCCGCGAGGCTGGCTACGCCACTGGGAGTTGTCCAATACTTTGTACACTGCGATGTCTTATTACTAGTAACATTGGTTTTCTGGCGTTCTTTGATTTATCAATTTGGCTTTCCGCTTAAAGCATATAGAGAACTGACAAATGGTTATGATTATGATGACGTTTCCCCCACGTCTTCACTAATATGTCTTTTAAAAGAACTAAGAACTGAGCTCGAAGAAAAAAACATATTCATGCAGCGAAAAAAAAAATTCGTGTTCATTTGTGTCAATTAGGTTGGGGATTTGAAACTGCATGTATCGACTGTTGATGTGAATAGATTTTTACTTTACTTTATTTTATATTATTTAAATAAAATCCATTAATTTCGAAGAACTAATTTTTATTGTTATTATTGGTAGAACCGAACATATGGGAGCATTATTCCCGCTTAAAAATACTTGACTTGACAAACATGACATCTGACATATTCCTTATCCTTAAAACCCAAAAACACAAGATCTTAAAAGCTAAAAATCCGCTCAGCGCCATCTATCTGACCCTTGCTTAATTATTTAAATCAAAACATTCTTTTTTATAATTATTGTTTACTTTAACACCTTGTCCCAATAATTATAAAAAAACAGAAAAAAAAAACAAAAATAAATTCCTACATTACAAAATTAACATTTTTATAGGTAATACAACAAACAAACTTACCCTACTAACATTTTCTTATGTTTTAAAAACTTGATATTATTCAAAGCCTTAGTGAAAATATCTGCTATCATATTTTCTGAACACAAGTATTGGATTTTCACTAAACCTTCTTTAATTTTCTCATTTATGAAATGAAACCTCACATCTATGTGTTTACTTCTTTTGTTGAATTGTCCATTTTTAATAATGCTCATAGCACTTTGATTGTCCATTTTTAGTTCAACGTCAATCTCACTAGTCAATAATAATTCTTCATATAATGCTCGTAAACACAGTATTTCCTTCACGCATTCTGCCGCTGAAATAAATTCGGCTTCGGTACTTGATAAAGCTACCACAGGTTGTTTCCTTGAGCACCAGCTAATCGGTCCATCACAGTAGTAGATTACATATCCAGTTGTACTTTTCCTTGTTCTATTATCCCCTGCAAAATCAGCATCACTGTAAGCTGTCATTTTAGTTTGATTTTCATTTCTTCGGTAGACAATCCCATCACTTTTTGTAGCATTTAGGTAACGCATAATTCTCTTGACATTATTAATATCTGCTTTGGTCGGATTTTCCATGCTTCTGCTTGCATAACCCACTGAAAATGCTATGTCTGGTCGAGTTTTATTTGACAAATACAAAAGACTGCCAACTGCCTCTCGATAGGGAAAATTAATTGTTTGGTCCATGTCGCTGGTCGTTTTTTCGATGATATTTACCATTGGGATCATTGATGTTTTTGCATTTTTCATGTTGAATCTTTCTAGAATTGTATCTATATAGTTTTCTTGATCGAGTTTCATCCAGTTTTCACCTCTTGTAATATTTATTCCCAGAAAAGTTTTTACATTATCAAATTTCTTCATCTCAAAGTTTGCTTCCAATTTATTTATCAATTTATCTGTTTCTTCTTGATTTTCACCCACTATAAGTCCATCATCTACATAAATAGCTAAAAACATTGTACCAGTTTTGTTTTTAAATATACATTGTTCACCACTTAATGGGTTTAGTCCACTTTCTCTTAGAAAATTGGTAAAATGTTCATTCCATCTCATCGAAGCTTGTTTTAGTCCATATAATGCCTTCTTCAAAATACAAATTTTATTCTCTTGCTTTCTATAGCCTTCAGGAATTTCCATAAACACTTCATCATTCGATGTCCCATAAAGGAACGCAGTTTTTATATCAAACTTTTTTATGTTGTAGTTTTTCTGTACTGATAAGGACAACAAGGCACGCAACGAGCTGACATTCACTACTGGGCTGAATACTTCTTCATAATCTAGGCCTTTTACTTGTTGGCATCCTCGTACAACTAATCTTGCTTTAAATTTTCCATCTTCCTTCATTCTGAACACCCACTTGTTGCTTAATATCTTCTTTCCATTGGCTTTTTCTCTATCTACATCAGTGGTTCCCAAAGTGGGCGATAACGCCCCCCAGTGGGCGCTACAACCATCTCGGGGGGCGGTAAAGAGCTCAGCTGATTTTGGGGGGCGGTAAGCATACATTAGTGGGCGGTGGAAAATAAACGAACAGATCAGAAAAAAAAATTAAAATTAAATAGTAAATAGTTTTTTACGGAAATTACTCTTCAATACTATAAAGATAAGGCTGATAGTCAGTCTATGTCTATGCCTTTCGGAGTCAATTTTGGCAAGCTTCCAGTTATGAACGCAATTCGAGAGTTCCGACGCAAATCCCTGCATTAAAGTTATTGTATTTTACTTATAAATAACTTCAAAAAGCTCAAAAATAAACCGGTGTGAAACTAGCAGCCACATTACAGCAGCCAAAGTGTGAAGTTGGCAGCCAGTTACAGCAGCCAAAATGTGAAGTTAGCAGCCTGTTTTAGCAGCCATTTTTAAGACAACATGGATAATGTCGTAACTAAATTTTAAACTTTTGTTTCAAAAAATATTAATTTTTCTCCATTCGCCTGCGTTATTCTAAGACGCAGAAGAATCGAAAAAAAAAAATGTAGGCTGTGAAAAATGGAGTTCCGCGATTAAACTTGGTAGTATCATTGACGATGTCCTAAAGAACATCTATACCGAGTCTCATCTCCTTAGGCCCCGTCTAACATGGAGAAAACGGGACATAATGGAAAAATCGATAAAAAATCAAAAGTCACTTTCAGATGTATAGATGTTCTTTAGGACATCATCAATGATACTACCAAGTTTAATCGCGGAACTCCATTTTTGAAAGTGACTTTTGATTTGTTATCGATTTTTCCATTATGTGCCGTTTTCTCCATGTTAGACGGGGCCTAAGGAGATGTGACTCGGTATAGATGTTTCTGTTTCTACGAGGTTAGGAACGAAGAAACGCGAAAGAAACGGGAATTCTGCGGGTTTGAGCGAGATTTGCCGCGAGTTACACCCTTTTTATCGGGCAATACGACTTACCGTGATGTTTTTCTGGTGTGTTGGTACAGTGGTCATGCATACCAACCGAACAAATGCATATGAACATGGCCCCGACGTCTCACAGCGAACATGAAACTATTGCTACTTTTCAACTTTTAGTGTAAAAGTAGTTTATATTTAAAAGGCCTCTAAAAAAAATGCCAATGAGGGGATTTTTGGGGACTTTTTATACGTTGTAGAGCACTATCACAGGAACCCAAAACAGGTCTCAGAAAAACTCTGGGTTTTTTTTTGACCTATATTCCCAAGTTGCCCGGACTATACTGGGGGTGCTAACTTGACGCTCAGCTCTCCAAAATCTTGGAAATCAGATGAAACAAAAATGGATTCTTATGCAATTTGAAATTTGAAGTGTACTGGACTGTCTTGTATCAGGTTTTTCTTGAATTTTCCATATTCGGCGATTTTCAGGCAAAATACTTTTAGACTAACTTAACGCTCAGCCCCCAAAATTTTGGAAATAACATGAAACAAAAATGGACTCTTAGCTAGCTTGACACTCAGCCCCCCCCCCCCAAAAAAAATGTGTAAATCAGATCAAACAAAAATGGATTCTCATGCAAACTGAAGTGTGCTGGACTGTGCTGTATCAGGTTTTTCTCAAAATTTCTATATTCGGTAATTTTTCGACAAAATCCTACTGGGGAGGTAACTTGACGCTCAGTCCCTTGCCAAGAAAATGCACGACCATGAAAATTTTCAAAAAAAATGGCGTCACTTCAATATTTTGGATCCCTGCCAAGAGGGGCGTTGGATAATTCCCATTTTCCAAAAGTGGGCGGTAGGTTAAAAAAGTTTGGGAACCACTGATCTACATATTCCCATGTGTTGTTGTTCTCTAAAGACTCTTTTTCTTCATTAATTGCCTCTTGCCATTTTTTATTTTCTTCACAAGTTAGTGCCTCATTGTATGTTAGTAAAACATAGTCTTCATATTTTTTTGGTAAAGTTATTTTTCTTCCTCGTTTGTCTTCAGTGCCTTGTCCCAAAAATTTGCCTTCTTGGCTTTCGTACTCGCTGGTATCTTCATCACTATATTCTTGGTCGTTTTCCTCCAAAATTTCTTCATTGTCATTTTCATGTTGGTTTTCTTCTCGGTTTTCTTCTTCATTCTGTTCTTGGTTTTCATTTTTCTTAGTATCTTCATCTTCAAATTTTATTTTATGGGTTTTTGTCTGATTATTATTATTTGGTTTCTTTTTAAATACAACGTCTCTTCTTACTATTATTTCCTGTCTTCTTTCATCCCATAGTCTATATCCGTTTAGTCCATA